GGCTCGGCAGCCTGCGCTGGTGACAGCGTGACTGCGTTGCGATCGAACCCACCCTTTCTTTTCTTAAACGGGGACCGAGCTAGTCTTTGCGAGCAGAAAAGCAAATACCGTTTTGTCTGTGTTTAGTGGGAGGCATTTACTCTTTAATCCCAATATTTTTGCGATTTGCAAAAAGGATAAAGAGAAAGCCTTTTTCAGAATTAATTTATTCTGTGGGTAGCTGTTTCATGGACGATGTCAAGTAGTGAAATTACTATATTTTTAAAGCGAGAATTTCAGTATTTCTATGATACTTAGGAGTTTCAGGGTGGCACCTGAGCAATACCTGAGTAATAAAACTAATACTTGTTTTGGTGGGGATTTTTCCCTCTTCAGCTACCATGGAGAATAAGGAAAGTAATGCTAAGGATGCAAAGAGCACCTCGGATGAAGATGACAGCGGAGGCATAATTCAACAGAAAACTCAGGAAGAAATTCTCTTTCATGAGGAAACCATTGATCTTGGTGGAGATGAATTTGAGTCTGAAGGAAACGTAACTGTATCAGAAGATTCCAATAATTTTGTAGATAAACTTAATGAACAAATGATGGAGAGTGTCATTATTTCAGATTCTCCAAACAACAGTGAAGATGACACAGGTGAACTTGGTTGTCTCCAGGAGATTGTAGAACAAATGGAAGCTAAAGATAATAAAAAAACAGAAGCAGAAGTGGATAAAGAAGAGTTTATAAGTAATGAGAGTGAAACTGAACATGAAGAAACACCCAGAGACATTTCTGAGATTGGAACAGATGATCAGGCATCTTTAAAGGAAGAATCAATTCAGGAAGCAGTGAAGGAGGAACCAAAGTTGGGAAACAACATGCCTGTTGAAACAAAATCAAATAATATTGATGAAAGCAAACCTGAGGATCAGATATCATCACCCAGTACTAGCAAACCATCTTCTGAAGCTGAGCCTATTCCTGTGTGTACCATCTTCAGCCAAGCAAACAGTGTTAATACCCAGCCACAGTTGTTCCTACCTGATGGTTTTGAGCCTCAGATGGTAAAATCTCCCAGTTTTAGTAGTACAATTGAGACTCCAGTGAAGTCTAATCCACAGGTGGTTCAACCAAGTCCTAGTCTAAGCAAGTTCTTTGGCGATACCGTTAACACTAATACTTTAGCTTCTGATTTTTTTGATTCATTTACCACATCCAGTTTTATTTCTGTTAGCAATCCCAATGCAAGCTCTTCAGTTCCAGAACAAATGTCCTCCCTTGCTAATGGTGGAGACAGTTCTTGTGCTTCATCTAACCCAGCTTTCTCTGTGCGAAATGGCAGACCTGAAGCAGGTGGTCCTCCATCATCTCTAGAAATAACTCAATCCCCCAAGCCCTTCTCACAAATCCAAGCTGTTTTTGCTGGCAGTGATGACCCATTTGCCACAGCCTTAAATATGAGTGAACTAGATAGAAGAAATGATGCTTGGCTTGCTAGTGAGGAAACCAGAAATGTTCTAATTTCAGTTGCCACACAACAATACAGCACCGTGTTCATAGATAAAGAGAATCTCACCATGCCTGGATTAAAATTTGATAATATCCAGGTAAGAGTCTATTATTGTATCTTAGTGTATGATTATATTTTAGAAATATTGTGTAAGAGCTGTCCAATAATCTGTATATCGTAGTGCTTCATATTGTTGCTGATGGTCACCTTGTGTGTATTACTTCAATACTTACTAGAAAATTTAATGTCACTGCCTACTCATACCCCTCATGAAGGGTCTAAAAGCAGATCTGATTTATTCATAGCGAAATCTGTTGGGTATGTTGAAAACCAGTGTTGACAGTTTCCATAGAATCCAAAGCTGGTTGTATTTTTAAGTAGTTTGTTTCTGGTCTTCCTAGTTGGTAAGGTAACGCTTGCATTTGGAATATATACAAAATCATTATGCTGTACTACAAAGTCTGAAAGCAGACAGCTTTGTTTGCTTGTGGAATTCACTGTTGCAACCAAGTGGGAAATAACATTTTTCAGTGATGTTCACAGTGCTCTCAATAATGTTAACACTGACTGAAATCGCATCATTTGTATCTTCCCTAAGCAGTGGAAGGGTATAACCTGTAGGAAAGATTGAGTACTAGAGCAAGCTACTGGGGAGGGTTAACCCCAAAATTAAAGGGAAAACTCCAGATGAGATCATGAAGGGAAAAACATAGTAGTGGAAACCCGTTTCCTTCTCTTCTATCACAGTTCCCAACTAGTGAGAAGGCATGAAGTGTTTTTTCAGAATTTGAGAAATTGCACTCGGAGCTATTCAGTATTTCTCATGAAGCAATTTTACCCTGACTGCTCAGCCAAGGCAAACTATCGTAATGGAATTTTTTTCTTGATATAGGCTAATCCTGCACTTTCATATCTATGTCTCTGGATAATAGAATTGTTGTCTAGAGGGATGGTGTTGAGGTTTTGAATACTTTAATCCTTAATTGTAGCATAACAAAGATGATCAGTCAATAGTCAAATACAGGCGGAGAGCAGTCTGCAGTAACTTCCCAGTCTGCAGGAACTATCAGAAAAGTTTCTGGAGTGAATCAGGTCCAGATTTGTAGCTGAATTATCTGACAAATCTTAGGTTTCTGTAACAAGCAACAAATGATACCAGTTTTAGACATATGCCATGCGGCTCCTACTTCTTGGGTTAGCCTTATCTTAACACATTTGTTTGTTGTCACAGAGCCCAGTAATTAGCGTGAAAGAAAACACTGTAATAGGAAGCTACTCCTCCTCCACTCGTTCCAAAAAAAGTGGAAGGGTCCTTCCCAGCTTCCCCAAAAAATCCCTTAGACCTTGATGAGTAATTCAAGTGTGTGTAGTATTTCTCTCCTGACAGCTAATGGGATGG